CCAATGAAAGCTCAACTGTCCAAGCAAAAGTCCAATGAAAGCTCAACTGTTCCAGGAAGAGTCCAATGAAAGCTTAATAGTCCAAGCAAAAGTCCAATGAAAGCTCAACAGTCCAAGGGAAAGTCCAATGAAAGCTCAACAGTCCAAGCGAAAGTCCAATGAAAGCTCAACAGTCCAAGCAGTCCAATGAAAGCTCAATAGCCCGAGCAAAAGTCCAATGAAAGCTCAACAGTTCAAGGAGAAGGTTAATGAAAGCTCAATAGTCCAAGCGAAAGTCCAATGAAAGCTCAACTGTCCAAGCAAAAGTCCAATGAAAGCTTAATAGTCCAAGCAAAAGTCCAATGAAAGCTCACCTGTTCCAGGAAGAGTCCAATGGAAGCTTAATAGCCCAAGCAAAAGTCCAATGAAAGCTCCATAGTCCAATCAAAAGTCTCAATCGAATATTTTTTGACGTTTGTTTGGACATATGAGCTTCCATTGGACTTTGGCTTGGACTGTTCAGCTTTGATTGGACTTTTGCTTGGACTTTTTTTGACCATCAAGCTTTGGTTGGACTTTCGATTTAGAGTTTGAGCTTTGGTTGGACTTTTTGTTTGACTTTGGACAGTTTTTGATTTTTTATGTAAACGAGCTTCGATTTATTGTCTTATCTAGGGTTTTTTGATCATAAATCTACCCCCGCAGGGAGTGCGTGACCTGTGCACCGCCAGACACCTCCGTTTGGCCTGATGACATCCCAAGACACCTTCAACTCCAACACCGTTGGACGAAGCGCGCAAGGGAGAGGGTTGCCACATGTGGCCACCTCTCTTCTGTCAAGGCGATCCGGCGCCAGACAGAGGAAAAGGCTTGAGCCAATCTTGGCTCAAGCCGTTCACCTAGTTTGCAAAAAGCCAAGGTCTGCAAGAAGGTTTCCTGGATGAGGGTCTGAAGGATGGTTCCTGGATGGCCGGCCCGTCCAAGACCTCAGGTTGCATTCTTCATAAATGTTCATGCTTAAGGGCACCAGTTTTGCGCAATTGGCAAGAACCACACCTCAAGCCAGGACAGGCCGCTCATAGCAACCCGTTGGCAAGCTGCTCGAACATTGCAAATCGTTGCGGCGACCCCTGGACACTTGAGCGCGGGCAGGAATTGCAGTAAAAGGAGACTTGGAAAGGAAGGGAGGGTGGGGAGCACGTTTCTTTTTTGTATTTTTCGTTTGCTTTTGGAGACTAAACTTTTTAAAGGCAAGCTCAGCTCCGGGCTCTGGGTATGGCATGGGGCCTTGGGAGGGTGTTTAAGCTGTGGAGACATGGAGACGGATTATTTTCAACTTTTGTGAACTAAAATGTGGAGCGAACTTAAGGACAATCAGTAGCGACCTAACGTGATTGTATATAAATAGACCCACACACATATGTATATATACAGTTGATATATATACATATTTATATACATATCTAGTATGTGTTGGCTAAGCTCTTGCCAGGGCGATGGAGAAGAAGAATATGTGTTGGTTGTAGGTACATGAGGTACATGCATGTATGCAGTGCATACGGCAGTGTGTACGGCATACAATGTGTCAATCGCAGGCAGCCATCTGGCTCTTGGAGCAGCATGCAGACCCTTCAGTGACCTGGAAAAATTGTCCATTCATGATCCTATTCGGGGGAGGGGGTGACGTTGCCACTCAGGTGAAGAACATGGAAGGATACACGGCCCTGCATTGGTTGGCTTTGCGAAGTATGGACGAAGACTCAGATGTGGAGGCCAGCTGACCACAGAATTCAACCAATGTCCCCCCGCCAGATCTTGCCAGAATTCCGATGCTACACGTGGTTGTCAAATCTTTCAACCTCTATTCAAGCTACGGGGGTCTCACTTGCTCAAGGAAGTTGTGCGAAGCCTTATTCGAAGCCGCGCCTCCGTGGAGCAAAGCACAGAAGAAGGTGGGAAAACGTTTGACATTTCAATTGAACCAACTCAGACTCGAACGGCATTTTGCTTCCAGTGCCATTGGCAGGCAAGATTCCTTTAGAGATGGCAGTGAAGCCTGGAAGCCTTTTCCCGAAGCATTTGCTCTACTTGCTCGCGCCCTCATACCAGGCCAGAAGTGATTGCATTTTTTTGACAGGATATTTTGCAATGCTGCCAGCTTTGAGCAATTCGAGGCATTGGATGGAGCCCAGGTCCGGCTTCACAATTGCTCATTCTTTGAGGACGGTAAGATGGCTTTGAAGGTTCTAGCGTTTATATTAAGTTTGCACTTCAAAGCGTTTCCGCTCGTCACACTAGCTGGTAAAAACGCCATAAACTCGTTCAACGTCTTCAGGCTAGTGTATAAAGTTTAAATTCGTTTAGACTCGTGTTTGACCGCTTCGTGTGCAACACCTTTGCGAGGACCTCGCGCTCATGTCTAGCCACAGTGGCAAAGCTGCCCAGGACGGAAAACTCATTCGCGTGACAAGACTGAGCCCTTGCATAGTTTGGCATAACACCTATGGCATATGGTGATGGTCTTCATCTTGAGCAATGCCTACCCCAGAGGGCTCGCTTGAATTTAGCATGCGGTATATCCCGTTGTTTGCAAATATGAGAGTGTACATTCTGAACACTTTTGTAGCATAATGTTCGATTCCAAATTCAAGTTGCTTAAAGTGAAGGACTTTGCGGATCGTATTGCTACGCTTCCAGTTGCCGTGGCAAAACACAAAGCAATCGCAGATGCACAGCACGAAAATGCTGTGGATTGCGGCTAGGCTCTGGAACTCTTGCTCATTTCCTGAGATTTTTAGGACTCGAGTTGTTCATCCCGTCATGTCCCGTGGTGCCCATGCCTAGGCATGGCAAGCCTGCTGCAGTGCCTTGGCTGAATACCAGGGATGAAGCAGGATTGCGATCAGTCATAGGCTGTTACTTTTGTGATTGTTTACCTGTTTCTTATCAACGTCGTTGTGCAAGGATGGCTCCTGAAGCAGCTGCGGTGATGCTGGGGTTGCTGTTGGTCAGCTCCTGAAAAAGACCCTCCATTTTTTTGACGGTAGTTTCAAGCTGCCCCGAACTTGAGGAACTTGAGGCACGGCCAATCCAGGAGAATCCTGGACACCATTCCCTCAGCTCTCGAGCCATTCTTTGGGGCCGAACTCTGCACCATGGCCATCAAACGATCCTGAGGAAGTTAGACATCTGAAAACCTTTGCATAGCCTGTCGTCTTGAGGCAATGTGCATACAAGCCGGACCAGCGGATGACTCGCTTGGGGCCGCGCCAGGCGATGCAGATGTCTCGTGACAGTTCGGTTTGTCACAATTTTGCTTGGCAGAATCTGGTCCGCTGGCCTGAGTGGAAATACGACGCCACTCTGGGACATGCACCTACCTGGCATGGCAAGTTGTTGCAGGCGCAAGTTTTGCATAATTATGTACTGTGAGAGCCTTTAAACTTAGGGTTGTTTTGTTGCGAGGTGCCACAAGAGCACCAAGCTCGTAGTTCAAAAGTCTTTGACGTGGCCAGGGCCTGAGGCTTTGTTTGCAATTTGTTGATCCTGGCAGAGTGCGGAGTGCCTCGTGAGGAGACTCTCGTCTTGCTTTTGCCCAACATTTTGGACATCGATATCTTCATGGCTCTGGCTTCTACCAGAAGTGTGCACAGGCCTAGATCTGCACTGATGGCTCTGACATTTTCAAGTGCGACAGGCATGCGGAAGGATGTTGAGTCAAAAGTTGAAGCAACAGGGGAAACAGGAAAACTGACCAATCCCCAACTCTGTCACGTTGGTATGGCATTTAAAGCCTGTAGTGGGAGCATTTGTGACAATAAAAAGGTCAAGTTAAGCATGGAGACTGAGGTAATCGCATTTGCCAACTTGCGCAGATCCTGCATGTTCTTGCCAATTCTTTTTGAACCACATGCTGAGCTGCGAGCGAAACCTGCGACAGCTTTGCCAAGGGCAAAGCTACAAAGTCAATCAGCCAGATTGAATCACCGAATCACTGCAGAGATTCGCTGTCAGAGGGGCTTAGGCTTAGGCTTTACGCAGCTGGCCAGCCTGTGGACCCTCCTTGAAGGCGGCTAGCTTGCCTTGATGCTTTCTCTCCTCGAATCTCTCTCGCCACTTCAGCTTGATTTATATAGCCTTTTGAACTCTGCCACTGCCACCTGTTTCGTGTCTTTCTTTTCTCTTCTTGCACACCACTAACAGAAAAGAATCTCGACTCTATTCCTGAGAGACCTGAGAGATGCACACACACACAGAGGTCTATAAATGTATACTCAATTTATTTATGTATTCCCTCCGACTCACTAACATCGAAGCGGAAAATGGCCCTGGGAAGACTATTTTCATCTACAAACAGGGTGGTTTCCACTTCTATGTCAGTGAGTCGGAGTGTATGGTCCCCCCGCGAAGCAAGGTATATTTACTGTGCTTTTGGCACCTTGTGAAACCTCTTGCCACACCATTGTTTTGGCACGTTCTCTCTCCACATGGGGGGAGTATACTCAGTTGAGATTAATGTGATGGTTGGCGATTGGTGCTTGACATGCCCACCTGCACTTGGAAGCATTTGGCCAAAGACATGTTTTGAGATGTTGTTTTTGGATTCAATATTTAAGATTCCCCCAGACACCTGTCTGAGTCTGTGCCGCTCTGACTGCTCCCATTCTTTTCCTTTGAATCCTCTCCTCCTCCTCGCTCCTGCTGGATAAAGGGTCTCCTCCACCCCCCATGCCAGTCTTTTTCTTGCGCTTCATCACCTTCTCCGATCTCCCATCCTCCTTCTTCTTCTTCTTCTTCTTCGTCTTCTACTTCTTTCCAGGGCGCGGCTGCTCTGTCCGCGATCTGCCGCCTGAGTCATGCCCGCAATTATACAACACTTTTCCTGGTCTGGCCCCGTTCTTGGAGCTTGATGTAGTGCCTCTTCGCTCCTCGCCACCCACCTCTGTATCAGTTACGCATCTATCATCTTCAGCCGCTTCCCAAGCCACATGCCTCCCACCATTAAGATTCAGATTGTAAACAACAATGAATTGTAAAATAAGCAAGCAAAATTTTTGGCTGGTGCTTCAGTTGAGCCAACAAAAACAAAGATATCACCCACCTGGCAAGGGAAAAACGTTGTTCAACGATTGTTAACCCATTTGTGGGTTGCTACTTTCTTGCTGGAGGTTGGAAATAGATGATAGAATAGTCAGGCTTTAAACGCGTTTTGAGATTACCATTGATTCTGCCGCTGTGATCTGAGCGTCTGGGTGCTGGACAGAAAGCAGGCAAGACAGAAAACGCAGCTGCTGAAACAAGCTTTTCTTGCTAACCCTTGGTGCTAAGCTATATTTACTGGTAGCACACATACAATACACAATCAGAACCCGGTTTTATATAACACGCAACTCTTTTCTCAATGGCCTGCACATCAGAGGCAGGCATTTCGGTTGCGTTCTTAGTTGCAAACCTGACGGGAGTGACATTAACAAGGTGTCCGGGATATGCGTTGACAACGGGATGTTAGATTGTCTTGATAAAAGCATTGTTGAAAGGTTCATTCCAGGTAATTTTGTTGCTCTTTTGTTCTTCCACTGCTTCAATTTTTGCGCAGTCATGTCGTTCATAGCATTGACCAACAACAGCATTTATGCTTACACAAGTTTTGCTTGGAATGCTCCTAGCCTGGCAGCTTAACTGCGAACCTTTTCATTTTACAGTCATCGCTCCCACCTTGTTTGGACATTTGCAGAGTGCTGCAACTTGAGTTCTGCAGCTGTTCTTCTTGAACCATTTTTCATGATCCAGCCTTCACGCTTGCCTACTTGTGCGGCAATGAGCATTCTAATCCGGATGCGTTGAGAACGCCATTGCTGGCAGTCGGGAATCATGCTCAGTTTTGACATGCAGCACAACTTAGACTCACAACGCATCATTGTTTGTGAAGAAACTCTGGCTGTGCAGCGGCTAGAATCTGCAGAGAGAGAGAGAGAGAGAGAAAAGACATGGCTCACACCTGCAGGGTCAGCTTCACTTTTCGCGGTCTTACATGGTCTGATGTTGCGAGGCAAATTTTTAACTCACTGCCAGTCAAAGCTGCAGTGCATTGCCTGTGGATGGAGCTCATAAGCCGCTTAGAGCAGAGTGAAGTGATGAAAAGACAGGAAGCGCAAAAAATCTGAAAAGCAATTATATACTGCATATTTATGTGTGGCATGTTTTGCCAAAGCTTGAAGGCACGGTATTTGGTCTCACATTGATTTTCAACTTCATGGACCTGCTAATCTTTGCCTGCTGGGGTTTGACACCTGCGGGACGTCCACTACTCTGGCGTCTCACAAGCTCCAACAACCAGGCCCAACGAAGTCGTCGGACAAAACGGTCTTCATGGAATTCGGAACGTGACAAATGGAAGGCCACAAAATATGGAGGATATATATATATATATATTTAGTCTATTTTTTAACATTCAGATTTGAACGTCAGGACATCGGTACAAACTCCAGTTTGCAATTCCCTCGATTTGCAAATTTTCTCTTGGCTGGTCTCCTGCGCAACTTGGTTTTAAGGTGACCTATTTGTGGTGTACTTTTCCTTATGTTCTTGGGGTAGTTGCTGTGTGTGTTTAGCTTAACCAACTCCACTCAACGCTTCACGCAAGGTGATTTGGTCAATATCAGCTGGTGGCTTTACTCTCTTTGTTGGAAGTGGCTTAGGCTCGGGGTGTCACAGCCCTCTTCTTCCAGCAGTTAGTTTTTGTGTTTCATTTTCCTTGCTCCCTCCTGCTTTCGCCACTCCAATCTCTGTGAGTGACAGGCACAAGAAGAACGTGACGATCGCCGGAACTCTGGGTCGTGGACACGAGCTGCCACTTGACTTTGATTAGCCTCTGCGCTTTTTCAATCACAGAGACAGGTACATACAGAAAAGTGTATGATTCATATTCAACAAGCGGTCAGCGTGAGCATTACAACACATCAACACCACGCAACAACACTTGCCCCGCTACATTCGACATTATTTTTTGCCTTTTTATACTCTTTGTTATTTTTTCTTATTTTTTCGTCTCTTGTTTGCACACTGAACAAGAGAGGATATGGGTCGACAGCATGGATATATATATATATAAATCAATGAGAATATATATATATATATATTTTTTTCCCCTCGAACCACTTGAAGCTGTCAGTGTCGAAACGTGTGTGCGGCAGCCATTCTTACAGAGGCGTTCTGGATTGCATTCATTGTGGCACCCTGCAAAGATGTTCGACCTGAGCCACAACACCAACATGCCAGAGCTGATGCTTGTTTGCAAGCCGTTTCCGTCCAATTCGCATGAGCTTGGACAAGCCCTGTGCAAAAGAGCCCCATTGCGCTGCACATGCTGGTCTTTGCAGAAGTTTGCTCTATGCTATGTCCATTGAGGATCCTGATACTGTTGAAAGCGGTCTTCCTGCTCTCTGTGCAGTGTGTGCAGGGCTGTGATAGGGCGATGTCTCACTGGACGCAGGACTGCAACGGCTTTTTGTTGCTTTTTGCATGGTGGAGCCCAGAATGGCCGCCAGTCCTCCTCTCGCGTCAGGCGCTGCTCGCGGTGTGCTTCTTCATGCATAGTGCCACTTGGATGGTACATTTGGCAGTCAATTGACATCTTAACTTTGCAGCTAACCCGAGTCACTTCACTCAAAGCTCAGGTGAAGTTGATCTACATGCTGCGGGTCAGTGCATTTGGAGGGAAAAAGATCCTGGTGCTTCTGAAGACCCTGGTTAGCGGTGCAATGCGGGAGATGCACCTTGACAATAGGCTTTCACATATCACAGTGCTGGCTTGAGAGCTCCAATTCTCGTTCCAGCTCGACAATCTAGTTCTTTTTCTGAGGTTCCTGGTGGCTTTTCTGTTCTTTTTGGCCTTCGTTGTGACAGCGGTGATGTTGGATCGCAAGGGCGCCATTTCAGTAGTAAGTTGGCCACGTGGCATTGGTCTTTGAACGGCTCATTGACTGAGGCCTTCTTTGGCCCTAGACCCTAGGTATATATATATATTACGAAAGCCAGCCAGCCGATAGGCTAGGCTTGAGCTTTTAGGCCGAACGAAGTGAGTTAAGGGGGTGTGGGGGGGGTAGGAGGCGAAAAGGCAGGGTGAACCCGGAGCTTGCCTGGGGAGAGCGCTCCAAAGCGAGGTCAGAAAAGCAATGAACATGGGGTCTGGTGATGCGAGTGATGCAATGGACGCCGAGTAGTGCATCATTAGCATTATGAAGGGCTGTGGAGGCTATTTGGACAATGGGCATTGAGCACTGGAGTGGAGACAGGCACCCATGTACAGAGCCACCATCCTAGTCTCTACTATACCTGTACCGTCGAGCGGATGCTTGTCGCGGCGTCCACGTGCACCGTTGTTCCGGCTTGGCCGCGCAGCTAGATAGTACAGAATAGATAGATAGATCGATCGATCGATAGATCATAGATAGATAGATAGATAGATAGATAGAGCGAGCTGGTTTGATAGGTAGGTAGTGATAGATAGATAGACAGATAGATAGAAAGTGGGCAGTCTTGGCCGAAACCGTGTCCCAGAGTGGCTGGTGCAGGAGTTTATCCACCAACCCTGGAAGTCCCATACCAATTTGAATGTGGTTGACTGAAGTGTAAAACGCTTGGTTCAATAATGGCTGTGCAGTAGCGGCTGTGCGGCTATGTTCACAGTAGTGGCTCGACTTTTCGGATCAAAGTGGAACTGCTTGGATGTATTGGGGCCAGTATGGTAGTTGGTTGGCAGCGACGAATGCCTATCAGAAAAGGGGCCCGTGTAGATAGCAACTTGGTGGGGTGAAGAGATTGCTGTGTGAGGATGGGTTATAGTCACGGATCTGTGCAATATTTTTGGATGACGGTTGGTGACACCAATGCTGAGGCATATAGTTCCTGCCATCCTCCTAGTCATCCTTTCAGAGAAGTCTGGTTGGATGTATTGGGGCAAGTATAGTAGATGGTTGGCAGCGACAAGTTGCTATCAGAAAAGGGGCCCGTGTAGATAGCAACTTCGTGGGGTGAAGAGATTGGTGTTGTTTAAGGACTTGTTATAGCCACGGATCTATGCAATATTTTAGGATGACGCTTGGTGACACTCATGTGGAAGCATACTCGGCTATTGCCACCATACTCGACTTCCCTGCGGCGGTAGCCAGCAAACGACCCTCTCGTCTGGTGGCTGCTGGCTTTCGTTCCCCCCTTCTCAGGTGTAAAATATACTGTATTTGTTTGCTAAATTTTTCGACCTTGGACATGTCCTTCCTTCCTTTTTTTTCCTTTCCTTTCCACAATATCCGTATACACCACCTGCTCTGCAGCCAGAAAACCTTGAACTGCAGGCAATGGTTTCAACTGAGATGTGATATAGTTTTGCTTGCTAAATTTCTGTTCTTTACACAATCTCATTGTTTTTCTTGTTCTTTGTCCTTTGTAATTCTCGAATGCTCTCCACTCCTGCTGCGTGATCATGAAAGTCTGGACTTGCCACACGTTTGGATATCCATTGAAGGGCCGCATCATTGGTATTTCCAATTGTTTGCAGGGGCGGTCATTCAATCGGGGCCACTGATCCATTGAGGTGAGCCATGCGCACCGTGACCAATCATGAGAAAAGAAGTGAGGCGAAGTGAATTGAGGTGAGGCGAGGTCTTTGGGATTGAAAGTCCAGCATGCTCAACTTACCGCTCCACCCCTCACCCACCAAGTGGCGAAGAACTTCCTCTCCCAAGCAAGTGACATCCTTGATATTGGACGCAAAACATTTGGATGCAAAGCATGATCCGAATCTGTGTCCTGAAAGTGGTGACGATGGTGAATGACAAGTCATGACATATGGCATATCAGCCACGAGCAAACGACTTGTGTCTGTTGGTGATTCAAACTGGATGGTGCAACCCGTTCTGAAGGGAAATGCCAAATGAGAATCCACGCGCTTTCAGAGTGACAGAGCCAAAGACAAAAGGCTATCTATTTATAGCTTCGGGGCCCAACTTTAGGGCCTTTGGGGTCCCTGCAACTTAGGTTGCAGGGTGGTCGGGGCATAGAGGCGCAAACATGGGAGGAACCGGGTTCCCCAAGAGCTGCGGGACAGTTTCGTTCCCCTACATTGCACTTGTTTACTCTTCTCCTTCACTGTTCTCTACTTTACTTTTTCTGCTTGTGGCTTTGGAACACTGGCAGACAAGGTGGTTATACTAGTTACTTCAATTATAGAAGAAATTGAGGGTATATATCTTCTATTTGAAATGCATCTGGGAGGGTGCCATCCGTACCATTCAAATAGAAGATCCCATTAATTATTTGATCAAAATGATCAAATTTTTGGTCTTTTGAGCTACTTTTGCATTTTGGACTTTCTGCTCAAAAATATATATCTTCTATTTGAATGTGGCTTGGTGGGGTGGATCTTCTATTTGAACATGATCTTCTATTTGACTTTCCTACCGGGCCTTGCTTACTGTTTTAGTCTTCGGGGGTTCTGATCGCCCGCCTGGCCCAAGAAAGCATGTGGCGGCAGGTGCATTTATATATATATATATATAGAGCTAGCAGGCAGTATAGACAGAGCCAGCAAGTAGAATAGATAGAAACCACAATAGATAGAGCTAGAATCCAATAAATTTGAGTGGTACAAATGGCACCCTCCCAGATACATAGATATATAGCTGCAATGTCTTCTATTATAATTGGGATAATGTGTGTAGAAAGAGCTCTCAAAGCTGTCTGACTTGTGGGCAATGGGGCCCCCAGAAGAGCTGGTGGCCTCGTTCCGGTGGGCCAAATGCTGTGTGGACTACCTGGACCAGCAGGGGGAGCTGGGCTGGTTGAAATCCATGGAGACTTTGCCTATCTCAACCTGGTTTTCCGGATACGGATGCGCAGAGACAGCCTTCCAGATGTTGGAGTCTGCGTTGAAGGGCAAGAGGGAGACAGATGGGAAATCGTTTTCCTCGAGTTACCAATTCGAGATAGCAGTCAAGGCCCGCCAAGCTTGCCTGGATAGAATTGATGCACATACATGCCAGCGCATCGATATCCTGCGCAGGCTCCGAGATGTGGATCGAATCGAGTTAGAAAAGATTGAGCAAGCCAGCTCCAATCCTTCAGAAGACTTGTGGGAGTTTTTGCTGAAGAAGCAATTTCTTTCTGAAGGTCTTTGCTCCAGGCACAAGAACAGGCCTGGTACATATATATATATACAGGGCTCAGCCATGGACCACAAATGATGTTTTCTATAGAAATTAGCAGTTAGTACCTTCCCAGGAAAAGAGCAAATAGAAGAAAAACAATTTCAATATCTTCTATTTGCGAAGGCACCTATCCCTGCAAGGTGTTCTTTTCCCTTGACAATCATGGACGTCACTGGCAGTATGTGCTTGGGATACTCCACCCTTGGAAAGAAAGACGATGGGAAATTGCTGAAGGAGAACTCACCTCATAACAAGCTTATGCTCATATGGGCTATTCATCATGGACGGAAGCAAACCCCAGCTTTGATCCATGAAAACGTGCGGGGTTTCTCAAGCAGCTATTTGTCAGCAAAGCTTGGACACTTTGGGTATCGGTTTTTGACCAGTATCCAGACTACTGGAGAGAACTGTGCGATGAAAGCAAACAGCCGACAGCGCTTGAACCTAAGCCAGCTTAAGCAGACTTTGCCCTTTTCCAAAATACCATACACATATAAGCTTACTGATTTCATCTATGTGTTTAATATAGAATACATATTTACATCTTCCTCCCAGTCTAGAAGGGTGATAGCATTTCAAATAGAAGATATTTGATAGCTTTCGTTATTGGCGTGTACAACTAGTTTTTTCAAATAGAAGATATTGGATAGCTTTCATTATTGGCATGTACAACTCGCCTTTTCAAATAGAAGATATTATGATGTGAAGGTAAAATAACAATCACCCATTTGCTGGTACATAAGGTATGATGTCTTCATCTTGGAGAAGTACTTCAACCAGATCCGGGACCCAGCTGAAGTGTACCAGCGTTTGGTGGAGCACCTGACTAGTGTCATGAGACCCGTGGAATTGCAACATGTAGCCTGGATGAACGGTCCCGAGTGGGAGAAGGACCTGCGGCAAGAGATGGTGGAGAACCGCAATCAGAATAGTGTCATGTCTGCTGAGGAAGCCAAAACAATGGAGATGACCGATTGGACGGGGCTGCTCAGCTCCAATGAGCAAGCCAACTACAGAAAATACTTGGAGCATCTCGGACAGCTAGATCAGCCAAAAGAGCTCCGACAAATACGAGCCGTTTGCGTGTCTCAAGATCCAGAGTATATGTTCATGGCTGGCTCAGAGGACAAGTTGCCCAGCTTCACCACTGATAGCACACGGAGGATAATGCTTACGCATTTGAACAGATGGCTGTCAGCAAAAGAGAAGATGTCACTCGCAGGATTCCCTGTGCATAAGGACCTTTGGGCTTTGGACATGCTCTTGGCGTTTTACATCAGATTGTCTTACAAATCATCCCCGTGAAAGCCAAAATAAGGTCACCACTTCCCTGTTATTGGACCAAATTGGAGGGACAATATCTTCTATTTGACATTTCCTGTTAGGACATGGCGGCAGCTGCAGGTGTGGGTTTGGTGGAGCTGGACAACACTTCACAATGGCACCGTGGCTGTGGCAATGGTATGATTGTTGGAAATGTGGGAATGGTGGTTCTCTCTGTTTTGAGCTCCATCAGCCCCAAGGAAGACCTCCAGGCAGAACTATCAGAATGGTGGGCGCCATGTGCCAAATATATATATATATAACCAGTTTGTTCATGGAACATAGGGGGACGTTAAAATCATGAACCCTTTAGGCTGCTCTTTCTCAAGCAATCAGCGACCAAGACATGCTTGGAGTACCAGAACAGCTGAAATTCCATGGTGGCTGGAAGAAATGGAGATTGGAGGTGGGACAGTCGACA